GTCACATAGGTGTATATATATGAGACCAAAGACTGTGATCAGGTCAATACACGCTGTACAGGCGACGCAAGCACACTTCACTGTTAAGTGTACATGCCTCTTCCTTTATAAGAAACCATGAACTTGTGTCTCTTCTTCCTGACGGTGGGGTGCCTGGTGACCCCCTGCACGGCACAAGGACTTTCCTGGCTCTTCAGACGCCTCCATAAAGCAGGTCGCCATAATATTCGCGACCTCAGTGGCGGCCGACACAACTCCCGTCAAGTGGCAGCAGATCAACCCTTCAACTTTTATGAACATCTGGTTAGTACAACTTTCTACATTGCTTCTTCTTTCTTAATATAAGACTAAAACCATACGTAAAAGGTTATAATGATTCTAAAAGATGTTATCATATCTAATGATACAATTTATTTTTGCAGCGTCTGTGCACCAACGATCGCGTGTGTGGGCGCGGCCAGTTCTGCGACCAGCACTACGGCGTGTGTCGGGACCACGTGACGGAGGGACGCGAGTGTCGTCGGGACGCCATGTGTGAGGGCGGATACGCCTGCATGTTCGGCCTGTGCCAAAAGCGCATCAAGCGTGGGCGTGAGGGCGCCAGGTGCCGCAAGGAGCGGGATTGTGGAGCAGGGATGTGCTGCGCCCGTCGCCATGGAGAGCAGGTGTGTCAGCGGCGTGTGCCGTTGGGCCACAAGTGCTACGTCCCTGAGGGCGGCCTCGACTACTCCATGAACCAGCTTTGTCCGTGCGAGAGCGGCCTTGTGTGCAAATACACGGCTCAACAGCCTCCTTCCAGGCACCAGCTCATGGCCCTCATGTCGGCGCACGAGGACATGCGCTGCGCAACGCCCTCGCACCGCGTCGACTGACATGAAAGTTGATTGTGTTCTCCATGTATTTATCCCAGAGGAAATTCTAGTCAGTATTATATTTTGTTTAAGCTAATAAACTGTGTACCTGAATTTAATCCTCCCTCATTATCAAACTTACCTAATGAACAAAATAAATCAGTATGTACAATAAAAATTGTAAAAGATATGCAAAGTAGTAATTCGAAATGAAAGGTGATGGGTCAAATCGCACTTATCTTTAGAAACTAAAGCTTGCCTGGCGAACTAAATGAATAGATCAGAGGTTGGCAACCTTTGGCACGAGTGCCAAACTTCCATATAGCTTGTTGAAAACAAAAATGAAATTGATTTTTTCCCTAAAATGTTATAACAGCTGTTTAAGTGTAATCTTCGCTTTACTTCAAATAAATTACACAAATAGTTATCTATGGTATCTAAACGAGATGATGTTATTTAGCTCCGCCCCGTCTTCACTCCTTTCAATCTGTGCGCTATATAACGAAGAACAATGATAATAATAGTGATTGTAATTATAATGATAACCATGGTTTTAACTATGATATTAAGAAAACAACAAAAACAACAGCAACAGTAATGATGATAATGATGATGATATTAATAATAATGATAATAGTAAAGACAATATCAACGATAATAACATTAATGACAATATTGATTATGATAATAATGATAACATTGACAATGATAGTGACAATAATGATGATAATGATAATGATGATGATCATCAGTACCATCATCATGAGAACATAAATAATGGTAATAGTAATAATAATGATAATAATAATAATAATAATGAGAACAGTAATATTGATATGATATCAATAATCGTAATTGTTATGATAACAGTAATAAAAAAGATAAAAACAAATCATGATAATGATGGCAATAATAATGATAACGCTAATGATAATAACCGTTAAGTAATATTAGTGATGATATTAATGATGATGACAGTAATACGTCAATGCATCAGGATTTGATAAGGCCTATTCCGGTCTTAATATTTCCAATACCATCAGAATGAATATTATTATTTGTATATGATTACTTGACGCATTTTATTATCGCTATATCTTTAAAATGAGTAATGTTCTTACCGTTATTGTGATCACTATTATCATTCATGCCATCATCGCCATTAATAGCATCACTATTGTTACCATCATTATCATCGCAATCATCGCTGTTATCATTATTAGTATCAATGTCATCTTTATAATCATCACTACTCTCATTATTATTAGTATCATTGCCATCTTCATAATCATCAGTATTATCATCATCAGTATCATTGTCATCTTCATAATCACCAGTATTATCATCGGTCATATTAGTATTATCATTGTCATCATTTGCCATAATCGTCACCATCATCATTATTATCATTGTTATTGGTGCCAATCTTTTCACCGTCAGTCACGAGTTAGTAAGCATAATGCTGCTTTAACTCAAGGATGCTATCATAAATATCAAATTCAGAATCACCAGCTTTGGTGGTTAATGATGGAGGCAGAGAAAAGTCGGATATACGGAATATAAATATACAAAAAAGTTTATTAGTTTCTATAGGTTACATTACTGACTAGAATTTTACCTGGGATAAATACTTATAAAGTGAAACGTGG